CAACCACCCAACCCAAACCATATATATATATATATATATATATATATATATATATATATATATATATAATATGTGTATATATATTACATAATATTTATATATATATATATATATATATATATCGTTTGTATATCTATTAGCTTATATTTTTGTTATTTATTTTATAATTACTTAAATTATGTGTACATTGTTTCAAATTCTTTCATTGCATTCTGCTTTCAAGACAACGGTTTTCTGGTCCGTGTAGGTAATTTTTTTTATGCGTTAGCGTGTTTGTGTGTGCGTGCATGTTGCGTGCGTGTATTTTTGACGTTTAATATATTCAGATTAATATATTTGATTCGTTTTACTCAATGGTTTTCCCGAAAACGCTACCCTACGACAGTTTCAATTCGATTTCCTGGTAGCATTTTCGTGTCTCGTAATTTATAATGTTAAAGATAAATAGCATTTGGTAGCTAATTTTCATAGTTCTTATGTGAATACGTATAAAATATATTTATATAAACAGAGTTAGTTAATTCTTTAGAAGGTTTGCATATGTTTAGAAGTGAGTTGACGATTTAGTAGCCAGCAGATCATATCACGACAAATACTTACCTTTAAGATGTTTTTTCCTTCATTGCAATAATTTGTTCAGTTCATTAGCACTTGTTTATTCGTTATTTTGATAACCTTTTGTTTTCCATCGACGAAACATATTTTGTTACCATTACTAACTTCCACAGGTAATTGACGAAATTTATTTCTACCATACAATTAGGTTACAGTTAATTGATGGACGGGGTATGATGGTTAGGTGGCGCATGAACGTAATTAGTGGACGGACATCAACTTCATCACAATTGCAAATTTGTAGACGTATTCACTCACGGTCAGTCAATTAGATTTTTAAACACGAAGTCAGGGAAACCGCAGTCGGGAAATTTCAAACGAATACTTGAACATTCCTGGACAATGTGGCTCCATCTGATTCCTGTGCCGGTGGCGTTTCACACACACACACACACACACACACACAAACACGCCAAACACACACACAAACACGCTGCCGATGTTACAACGTTTTCAAACTGACACAAAAATACTTCCTGCTAAGCTTTAATATACATAATAATAATAATGAAACGATACTAAACCAAATTCAAATGATTTTTAAATTGAAATTTTTTAAATAAGATTGTTCATCAATAATAATGCAATGTTGGTAAGAACGGTGTAGTGGTAATTTTCCAAATGAGTTTTAAAGAAATGTTTTTTAAAAAGTTTATGACTACATTTCAATGTTTTATAACTTGATTTGTATATGTATGTGTATGTATGTATGTGTGTATGTATTGTATATTCTAATTTCCAAGCTTAGATTGTAATGCAACGGATATTTAGTCGAAAAAGATCGGATAACTAAATGAAAATCTATTAACACGCGACGTATTTACATTTAATTATCCACCAGCCGGTTAGGTAGATGAAGCGCATATAATTTTAATTGACAACGACAGCAAGATGCAGACCCGGAACTAAACTATGGGAGAGGGGGAAAATTTTATGGTGCGGCATTATTTGGAAAGTTTTAAAAAATTGAAAAGTTATTTACAGAATAGTATAAGAATTAATTGGTGCTTGGAGGGAAAGGGAGCACCTAACTAATCTTTGCCCCCTCTGACAAACCTCTTAGTTCGGATCCTGGCAAAATAGTGTAAGTGAAATGAGTGATGGTCTTGGAAAAAGAAATAAGCAATGCAGACGATACAACATTAAATCAATTAACATTATTATTAAGGTAGAAGATCATTGTAATACTTAGTTCAATTTTATAAATAAAATGTAAAGCAACTTTAATGAAAATAAAACCGTTCATTGTTTCCTTAAAATTCAAATTACTTGAAAAAATAATACTTCGGTATAAAAAATTAAAAGTCGTTTAAAAATGAACAAGATTTAGTCAACTATGAAAAGATAAATTAATGCGGTGGCGAATGTTGAAAAAAGTGACAAGAACCTTATAAAAAGTAGATTGAAAAAAACTGCCAATACGAAACAAACAACGAACGAACGAGCTACAATCACAAAATGATCACAGCACGTAACAACAACATCTCAATCTTGTCATGATTTTTTAAAAATTCTTTGACAGAAAAGTCGAATCTGTGGCTCGTCAACAGAATAAAATAACGAAAAATTATGACTCATATACATTCAAACATACATTCTAACATTTCTCCAGTTGATCATACTTACATACTCAATTATTTACGTAGAGAGAATATATGCCATCTCAGATGTTCATCTGACGGCATGCGATAAAACTCAATTTCAAACCTTGACTTGGATCGTAAATTACAAAAAAAAAAATGATAGCAGCAATAAATCTAGTGTTAAGATAACTTAGGATCCTACGTCACACTGGCCTAGCTTGAAAGCAAAGAGAAACCATCTATCGTATGCAGAAGTGTATGACTGCTAATTGCATTCTCGTATACGTTGTGATTGTTTGTTTGTTTGTTTGTTAGCTAAATGTTGTGCGTTAGCCAAATAAGTGACTGTTGAGAAGTTGACTATCAATAAGAATAAGAATTATAGTTAATAAACACAATGTTCAATAACAAATACAATAACTCAACATTAACAACAACTATAGCAAAGAATTTTTCAAAAAGAACCAAAAGCAGAAACAAAACGAAAATAAAAGTTGAAATAATAATAAAATTACTGACTGCTGTTTGTCTGCGGAGAAAAGCTACATGACAAATTAACATTTGGTAAAATAGATGTATTTGAAATTCTTGTATCTTACTAGTGAAATAGATGCGTACTATGTTAAAATCTTTTTCATATCTCACTAACTTGGAAACCATTAAATTATTGCAACTGCAACAAATTAATACAAACAGCATACACTGCATTACAAGCATTCAAAAATTGAGATTGAAGATATAATTAGGTCTCTATAAATAACCAACTTTAACTTTACATTTTAAACAAGCTGTATATACAAATATATAATTATTGATGAAAATCACAGCATGTTCCGCCTTAGTTGACTTCCATTTACTATCGTTAGAAAAATCGAAAAATTAAACAGGAGTTAACTAACGCGGAACATGATGTGATTTTCATCAATAATTGCATTTCTGACAGTTTTTATCCAACAAATATATAAATATACGTGTGTGTTTATGTGTGTGTGTGTGTGTTTATGTGTGTGAGTGTTTACAGTTACACTACTGCTACTTCCACTACATTAATGAAATGAAATGCGATTAAACTTTTGAGAGATAGTGAAATATATTAGGGGGGAGCACGGCGTAGAATCTGTTCATCACCCAGGTTAGCAGTGTGGCTACTCCGTTGTAGATCTGAAATCAAGCATTAAAAATTAAACCAGAGTAAATTCAATTAATAAAATTTCTTAATGAAAATTTAATCTATCGGGTAAATGTTTCAAAATGTTACCCAATTCAGCGCTTGAAGAAGAAGTTTTTGCTGTCGATTTTTTTTTCAGAGCTTTTTACCAATAATTTATTTAATTAACTTGCAGTAATTTAACAGCTTCTTAATAAGACTTAATTATTAACATTTGAATTAAATCGGCTAACCTATTTATTCAAAAACAAACTTATCACAGCATGACACTTTATAAACGACCTAAGACCTAACTCAAAATTTGTTGAATTGTCATAAAAAAAAAGATTTTTTGATTTTCTCATAGTTACAGATGTAAAAAAATGCCGGTCATAGCTGTTCAAAAGGCAGTGTGCATTTTATAGCTGAAGGGCATCAACAATGCAGCGGCAACAGCCAGCAGCACCAACCATTCTCGTGTAATGCGTCGTTGAGTCTGGATACTGCAGTGTCAGAAGAGCCATCAGCACACTCACGGAACAAAATCCTCCAGTGAAGAGGATGTAAAAGGGGAGGTCTTTCTTTGGGTAGATTGACAGGTCGTGAAATGCTGGTGATGGAATATTTACTGACTGATTAATACAACCAGCCGTTCAAATTTCTATTCAATTATTCATTCGTTTAATCATTAATCAATATTTAATCGATCAATCAATCAACCAATCAATCAATCAGCCAACCAAAAAACCAACCAATCAATCAGTCAGTAAATTAGTCAACCGGCAAGCCAGCCAGTCAGTTAATCAATTAATGAAACAAAAAAGGAACCAACATGGTAGTAGGCTTCTATCTGTAACCTCTGTCCCCGATGGATAAGCGTAGAACATCAAACCCCTCTCCAACGGGTACGGGATCATGCGAAATGCTGGCCGATGTGAATTTCCAGAAATTTGATTCAAAATAAGAAAAAAAAACTCACAACAAATTTAAAATGCATAAAAAATAAAATAACATAATACATAAAAAATTTCTGCAAAAAAAGACACACCAACACATACAAACTACAGACTAACAAAATTAAACAAACACAAACAAACTTAGTTAAAAAATACAGAAAACGAAAAAAAGAAAAATAAAAAAAACTAACTGCCTTCCCAGGTGTAATGTAGGAGGTTCAGGGCACCATCAACCCTCTTCCAGTGCTGGAGGTGAAAGAATGCATATGCTATCCCTTCACTGTCCCCTCGCTTCAAGATGTGCTCGGGCGGCAATATCAGGGACTTCATTTCTAGCAGGTACTATGAGATGATGGTATGACGATGGTGAGGAGTAGAATAGGCTGATGGCTAAAGGAGCAGACAAGCAGTCAGTCAGACAAATAAACAGACAAACATCAGACAGACAGACAGACCTTGGGAATGTGTGGATTGAACTCGACAGCCCTGTGTATGGCCTCCACAGCCGCCATTTCAGGTGTGGTCAGACCACGACGAATAGCCATTTCCGGTGAGAACCTGATGGTGGTTTTGATAACGATGGCAGTAGTGATGATGATGATGATTTGAAGATGGCTTGTTGATGACGGTTAATTTAATAGAGGTATTATTTCTTTCTTCTCATATCATACATGTTGGTAGCATGGCCAATGTAGTTGATATCATTCAACATAAGTGCATTATTCGAAATATCAAGCCAAGTGATGAAATAGAAGGGGTTTAACAAATCATTAAATTAATTAATCAATCAACTAACCAGCCAACCAATCAATCAACCAATCAACAAACCAACCAACCAGCTAACCAACCACCAACCAACTAATTAATCAACCAACCAGCCAACCGACCAGTAAACCAACTAACTTATCAGCCACTAATCTAGCCTTCATCAGCGCAGTTGTGTAACATATTAGAGCTGATTTTGGGAGGTTGATGTCTGGATGTTGTGGAAAACAGGATGAAGTGTGAAGACGGAGCATGAAGATGGCAGTAATGATAAATTTGAAAATGACAATGATGATGGCGATGATAACTTCTTCATGAGATGAATTTTTACCTTATTATTTCATTACATTTTTTTCCTCTTCATTGTCATAATTTTCAAACAACTTGAAAATCATTTTATAAACATGGACATTGTCAACATCATCTTCTTCTTCGCCTTCATCATCATCATCATCATCGACAACAACATCATCATCCTCATCACCATCATCATCAACATCATTAATAGCAAAATCATCCAAAAACACTAAGAAACCAGCCAGCCAAAGCTAACCAACCAGCCTCAACCAACCAACCAACCCACCAACTAATCAACCAGTCAACCAAATAGTCAGCCAACCGACCCACCAACCAACCAACCATCATATTTGACTAGCAGTGCCTGAACATCAGCATACGCCTGTAGCTCAAGAAGAGCTTCAACTAAATTCTCGTGAATGTTGAACAGGTTGATGGCTGGGAAGTCTCTTATTATCTGAGTGAGGGAAGAAATGTATAAATGAATGAATGAAAATTAGTTAATTAATTGAGATCTGGATTGACAAATTAGTGAATACATTTACAAATGCAGTAAACAAACTATTAAAAAAGAGACGTAGACAAATCTTAAGCTTTATTAATAACATTCCAAATGATGATGACGAATGATGATGAAAATGATAATGTTAATAACAACAATGATGACGATGATGAGAACGATGATGACGACGACGTTGACAACGGTAGCAGTGATGACGTGCAGTGAATGACTAACCTCTCTCATCATCTTCACAGCTTCCCGAACTTTCCCCAACTTACGCAGGCACATAGCCAGCCTCCTCTTTATGTACACAAGAACGTTGACGTCACGTCCTGGTGGCGAGGACGGTGATGACGAATATGACGATGGAAAAATATGGTGAGGACGATGATGACGAATATGACGATGGACAAATGTGGTGACGATGATAAATATGATGTCGAGTTTGATGACGATGATAAAAAAAAGCTACATGGAGGACTATGATTATGAATATAATGGTGAAGATGATGATGAAAGCGATAGTAAAGATGGTCCAGATGATGAATACCATGGCGAGTATGATGATGACAAAGGTGACGAAGAACGACGGTCATGGGCAAAAAATGGTGAAGATGATGATTTGGAGTCATTTTAAATGTTATTCTATTTCGTTATGTGATGGCGCTTTCAAATTTTAACCAACTAGAGATAGATAAATTTTTAATTGATTGGTTAGAAAAACAGTAAGTAAAGATGGTCTAGGTGGCAAAAAAACAAAAGAAGACAAATAAAATGATGAAGATAATGACAAAAGAACTGAAGATGATAACAGTGAAGGAGGTGTAGGTAGATGTCAGATGATGATAAACGAGGAGGACAATGATCAAATGATGTCTACAATGATTAAAATTAAAAAAAAATGTACTTACAAGAGCCAATGCACAACTATCCACACCATCATCATCATCTTTTTACTCATCATACTCATCACAGTCATCATCATCTTCGTCATCATCATCTTCATCGTCATCCTGATCTTACTGTATATGGTTTCATTGGCCACACTGAGATACTGGGTGGCTTGGGACCTTCTGCAGTTCGTCTCTGCCACTTTGTACGCCTGTCTTAACAACTTTTCTGCCTGCAATTATCATGGTGTGAGATGATGTGAGGATATAGATGGCGGAAGCATACTTGATATAAAGAATGAAGATGATATATAGATGATAAAAACATACTTGATATCAAGGATGAGGATGATATAGATGAAGAAAACATAATTGATATCAAGGATGAAGATGATACAGATTATGAAAACATACTTAATACAGAGGATGAAGATGATATAGATTGTGAAAACGGTGTAGATACAAGTGATGAAATTTATAAAGCTGATGATAATACAAATGATAATGAATATAATAATGATGAAAATGTAGATGACATTGTTGTTAACAACAGTTAACATCATCCTCATAACCAAAACAATCATTGTTGTCACACAATCATCATTATATCATCACAGTATCATCAATATATCATCACATCATCATCATTATATCATCACATCACCCATCAAATCATCATCATTGTATCATCAAATCATCCTCTTATATCATCACACCATCATTATATCATTACAGAAGCATCATTGTATCATAATTACTTCAGATATGGTGTTGCAATCCTCTTCAGCCAATAATATCATAGCTGGGGCACAGCTGCCGGAAATAAGCATGTGAGAAAGAAGAAAAATAATTAAATGTATATGCTAAAAATGGCTGCTTTTATAAATTATTCCTAATTAATAATAATAATAACAATAAATAATAATAATAATAATATAAAAAGGTAGATAAGTAGTTAAATAATAAAAAATTATGTACATATATGACGGATAGAAAAAAAATGACAATATCCATCATCTCACCCATTCTTTTAAAAACATAATTCACAACTTATAAGGTATCATTGAATGGAACAAAATAATAATACAATACAATAATATAATTATAATAATAATAATAATAATAGTTATAATAATAAATCAGATGATATCACATAACATACTCTGGACTCATTTCTAGAACATCCCTTGCAGCAGATATGCGAGCCGATTTGTCTCTCTCCCGCCAAGCTATCTGCATGGCTGGTTTTATTAACTATCCAAAATTAATAATAATAAAAATATTAATAATATAATAAATTATTGCTATTATCATTCATGGTTGCTTTAGTTCATACAATGGAAACGTCATTTATAACATTAAGAAGAAAAAGAGCCTGAATAACCACCATTGTGACGTAGCACAATGAAACGAGAATAGCAACATGCGAGCTAAAAATCTGGAGTGACAGTATATCCAACAACAACAAACAACACAAAAAAGCAGCAAAAACATTATGCAACAACAATGTCAAAACATTCAAACAACGATAACGACAACAACAACAACAACAGATTCAACCTTCATAATCTGTTTTTCCACTGTCATATTCACATGTGAAAAATGTTTGGTGATCTTGGGCAGATAAGTTCATATCGTAATAAGTCAAAGGTTCTAAACCAGTGGCCGTCTGGAACCTTTGGTACTCTGCTCCTCTGAATAAACTCAATGGGTTTTGCCAAACTTTTGTTTCTGTAATTTTATTAATAGAGGGAAATGATTTAGATCACTCATTCCCACAAAACAATGATAATACACAAACTCTAATTAATGAATGATTGAAAAGTCATAGAAAATATTTATAATGACATTAACACTAGCATATAGATGTAAATTCAAAATACTAGAGCAAGAAAAAAACCTGGAACAACTTGATCATCACTGGCTATGTCGTCAATTTCCGATGTGTTGGGATCTGCTCCGCCGAGCAATGGTGACAAGTAGTTGATGGTGATGTGTTCGATGAATGAGATGCCATACTTCTTGTAATACCACCACTCAAATAACTGCTTTGGTGATCGTATTTATAACGTTATGCAAATTTTTAAAAAGATCCTACAATCAAACTCTACTAATACAATTTATGATATATATATATATATATATATATATATATATATATATATATATATAAATATAACTATTAACAAAAACTAATAAAAAATGAAAAAATATAGAATTTAAAAACTGTAAGCTTAACTGTAAATGTAAAAACACAAACGCTTATTTTTCACAAAAATTAATCTAAACTAGAAAACTGAAATTTTCGAATTGAGGAGATTTAATACTAACGAGTATTATAGCAGACACTAAGGAGGACAACCCTGTCATGATAATATAAAACCTTGGAGTCACTGTGATGAAATGCATTGTGGCTTGGAGGATGTATTAAATATGCATCATGATAAATTAATTCCATTTATTTATATTTCTATGCAATCTTATTCTATTCTATAAAAATTTTCTTTTATTTATTCTATGCAACTTTATTTTAACTTAAAAATAGATAAAAAATATTTCATTTATTTTTACTGATAAAAAATCATTTTAACTTATTAAATAATTATTAGTGATAATTCGCTTATTCAACTTATAATTTAATTTTATTAAAAAGCATTCAAAAAATAAAAATGTTATGCCAATAGTTAAAAATCCATTAGTAAATAAATTGTTCAACTTTTATGTTCACCAGTGTTCAATATTCATACATTATAATAGATACATTTAAATTTAAAAATAAATGAACAAATAATTAATACATTAATTTGTTTGACCATACATACATGAACAATATTAAATTTATTAATTTTTAAAAAACAACATAATGAGACAAGTAGATTAATCTTATTAATTATTTAACTTTTATGTTTTTAACATTTAAGTTTTGCAACTAAATTAAATTTGAAAAACTTTAACTTAACAAAATACACTTTCATAATTTTGTAACTTAACTATAAAAAAACTAACTAAAAACAAGATTGAGCATTCTGCCTGCCTGGCTAGCAAAATAATTATAATTTGGTTTGGAGTCTCTGTCTGATGAATACTGATATTGATTGACCAGAAGATTAGAAGAGGTTTCTGTTTGTCAGGGAATGGCAGGCCTTATTTTTATTCTGTAATTCTCTTTTGTTGTATTTGTTCATGTATTTTTCTCTCTTTTTGTATTTCACATCACTTTTTTTCTTGCCACAACTGAGTAGTTTTTCAAATAAATAAACATTAAATTATTTCTACAAATACAGCAGCGTTTTTTTATGTAAAATTACGATTCAAATCACTTTCCGATCAATCGTAAATAAATTTTATTTGCAATTAAAACCATTCATCTATCTCCCGTGTACCTATCTACTATATATAAACATAAATGAAATGACATTAGGTTGATGTCAATCTTTTCTCTCGCATCAACATTTATAAGCATACATTATAGATAGATAAATATTTTTTCACCCTGTGTATATACATATATATATATATATATATATATATACATATATATAGTTTTTACAATATTCTATTAATTCTACCAAATGTTTGGCGTTAATATGTTTGTAGTTTGTTTTTTCGATTTTTCTCATTAAAGTTTTTTGGTTACAAACATATTAACGCCAAACATTCGGTAGAATTTATAGAATATTGTAAAAATTATGGTCTATTACCAACATTTACATATATATAGATATATGAATGTATATTCATTTATATAAATAATTATATATAAATATATATATAAAGAGAGAGAGAATATCTAGAAAATAAATACATTACACATGTGAAAAATAAACAAGAATATAGATGATATGATGTTAAAATGTTGAAAAAACTTGAAATGTCTCCTTATAACATCTATGGTGAAAAACAGTGCTAGAAATCCAATGGAATCATATACTTAAAAGACTAAGAATGGAACACAACGCATTTGAAAAAAGAGTGATTATATATATATATATATATATATATATATATATATATATATATATATATATATATATATGCGAATATCGTTAAATATTTTTGCCCATTTAGCATTAATTAATTTTTTAATAAGGATTTCGGCAACACGAAGCTGTTTTATTTCGTATTTATTATCATTATGTGTCCTCCCAGGCTTACAATGTT